CAAGTTCATTATTTGTCGAATTTATTCTAAACTAAAAGAAGTTTTTTTGTAATGCATTAAATTTCATAAGATGAAACATTTTATTATTGTTTTTATTATTTTTACAAAACAAAATTATCTCTAATATTTCAAAAGTTATAAATGTTATAGTAACATCTCTTAAATCAATATTTTCAAAAAATAATAAGAAGCCATAAGGCTCGGTTAGAAACAGCCGTGTTGACATCTCAATAACTATCAATAAAGTTTAGCATGCTGGTCTGATCAAAAAACTTGGTTCAGATGGTGCATCTGGGAAAGTTTTTGAAATTATCAAATAATTTCTTACTAAACACTTTGTCAAAGTCATTCTCAAAGGCCTAGACTCTTCTTCATTTCCAGTAACTTATGGGGTACCTCAAAATTCTATCCTTAGTCCTGTTTTGTTTCATACCTACATTAATGATCTTCCTGACAATCTTACATCTGAAGTGACTCTATCTGCTGATGATTCATCTTTTGAGTCATCATCTGTTTTATGTCAGATCGCTAAGAACAGGCAGCCGATCTTGAATCTAGTGTCACATCTCTAACAGATAAAAGCTTGCAGTAACTTGTGAACTTTAACTTTTGCTGTATCTCTTTCTCTTTTCTACAAATACTACCATGGTTGCTGTTCAAAGAAGCCATCATTTCTAGTTTTATCAACCAAAACTCATTCTCACTATACCTAACATTCAGCAAAGTCTTATCCTTTTATTGGATCTGTTCCTGCAAATTTTCAAGTCTTCTGACAACTGTTTCCTTACTTTTTAACTTTCTTTGTTTTCTAATAAATCCCAACTTAATAGTGGCTGCTTGCAGTCTTGTTAGAAGTGAATCAGAATAAAAAAATTTAAATAAAGTACAATAACATATTTCTTTATTTGCAATTACAAAAATCTAAAACTCATTATTGTACAATTAATAGTAAAATAACAGCACTACAATGTCTATATGCAAGCACAACTCCAATCCAACCTTAAAAACATTGTGTTAAAATAATTAGTAACAGTAACTTATCAGAAAAAATATTTAAGGTGATGAACTTTATATCAACAGTAATTATACACACAATTGGTAAGTCATTTTAATATAAGTAGTGTGATTTATAAACATATAAGCAGTGTATTAAATAGAGATCAGAAAATTTATTGCAACCTGATATAAAGAAGAAACATCAAAAACATTTCAGTGTATATGCTTAAAAAGAATCCTTAAGTACTTAATTAACAATGTTAACTAAGCATATCAATTTAATTAAGTTAATAAAGATCATTAAACAGGTGGGACCATCAGTGTATTATTTGTGAATGTTACGCATACAGAATATGAAACAGCACTGCAACATAGGAGGAGGGTTAGAACATAACCATTCTGACTATCAGGAGAAAATAGGATACAACAAATGAATCCTACTAAACTGCATGTTTTAATTATGACATTAGAAAAATAGCATATATGCAATATTTTTATATAGAAATCTTTTCAATAAATAGTGAAAAAAAATAATAAAAAATAAAATTTTCAATAGAAAATAAATCTGTTTTATAAAAAGTTTTTATAGTCTTACTTTTTATCAAAATATAAACTCTTGATTTGTGTTGTAGGAGTTTGAGTTAAAACTTTATGAGACATTTCTTTAAACTTCTTGCAAAACTATATTATTTAAATAAAATTGAAATGAATATTAATATCTTCTATTATATAACCTATATTGAACAAATTTTCTTTATTTTTGATATCAGTATTACTGAAAATAATATTAATGTAATATTGTAACACCATATTAAATGATATTAATACATAATTATATTATATTTATTAAATATTAATATAAAATATAATAAATATTTATTTTAAATATAGTATAATATATTTTCAGAATACAATACAATAAACAGTATATTTTTTTATATTCTATAAAAATATTATAACTAGAGTATTAATTTATATTGGATAGTATTATTATTTAATTAAAATGCAGGTGCTTTAAATTAATAATTATTTTTCCAGATAACGATGATCGTTAGTAACTTTAATATATTATTTAATAAGAATATCATTTATTAAAATTATTAGTAACTTAGTTACAAATAACATTTTTACAATAACTTTTTGGATAATTGTTAATTAATTTTAAATATTCAATATTATATTAATAATAATTCAATATTATATTATATTAATATAATAACTCAATATTATATTAAATATTGTAGTAGGAATATTTTTTGTTTTTAATTTTTGATAAAGGAACACGAAATTTTAATATTGGAAAAATTTTTATAAACTTTTATTAATAAAAAATTATAATTATGAAAATTTGTTCCATTCAACAACAAAAAAAAAAACAGAATAAAAATGCAATAGGAAATGCTCGTTGACTGAATCTCTAAGCGATTACCATAACAAACAAGAGGTTTTCTGCAACAAGGATTAACGGGAAATGTAATGAACTTTATAACATGACGGCAAGAAAAATAACTAGAAACAATGATTTTATAAATGTAAAACTCTTTATAACTATTAAAGAGTATTAAATTTTTTAAATCCTAGATTTTAGTTTTTAAAGCATGTCAATACAGTCATGTCGGTTTTTAAATTGTGATCAAGTCGCTAGCGCGCTGAAATTTTAAATAACAAAATCTTAACAATTATTTTTTAGGGAAATTTCTATCCGGAGTATTCTTACCAGGAATCCGAACTAATTATTACTTATTAACTACTTAACTATAACTCTGACCCAATAAGAACTAAAATGGATAGGCATATATTAACTAAGTGTTTTAGGTGATAGGAAGTTTACATGGTTGTTTAAATTACCCAAAAGTTTTTGTCCGTAATTGTTTCTGCCTTTTAAAAAATCACTTACATCACATATCACATATTAAATTTCAGATGCATTTTAAATTTGATCGTAACAGTTAATGAAATTAACTTTAAAGTTTAGTTAAACTGTAAAAGCAACCGATCAGATCTTCAATACGGCCGTGGCGTAGTGGTTACAACGCTTGCTTTATAAGCACGACCTCTGGACATATTTTCGCGTCACAGTAAAAAATAAGGCGTGAACTTCCTGGTTAAATGCACTTCGTTAAAATGCAGACCGTTAGGTCTTCTTGGAGTACCTAAGATAATAACATTAAAAAATAGGATCTTTCAGAACTTTTTTCTTAATTGTGCTGATTAATTCTTTGTTTATACTTCCTCCAAAGAATACCAAGTTTTCGTTTTTGTAATGCAATGGATTTTATTGTTTTAGTTAAAATAAAAAGTGTACCAATTGGAATAACAGTATTTTTTGTTTTCCGATGAAATGTTTGGTAATTAAAAGAGGTATTTAAAATTGATTATCTTCAGAAATATTTTTAGTTCAATAAAAAGATAGTGGATGATTTTATCACTTTTATATTTTTAAGCATTTTCATGAGGGTAACTTCGGAGAAAAAATTGCAAAGAATTAGCATTTTTTGCAACAGGATATATATATATATATATATATATATATATATATATATATATATATATATATATATATATATATATATATATACTTTATTATGACTTTAGACAATTTAAATATAACTTAATTAGACTATTATATGATTATAATTAAATTACTTTTGTACAACTTATTTACAGAGCGTCCCGAAGCGATCTTAATGGGGGGTATCTGTTTTTTGTCGACTAACGACTTCAAGAATAAGGTCCTCGTCCTGACGTTAGGCAACTGCCGACTAAAGGTCCAAATTTGCTGGACCTTTAATCGGATGCTTATACTGCTGATTTAGGTGAGCAGTATGACGTCATACTGTAATAGCTTGCTGCCGGGGGCTTCAGTACATTTTTTTTTTTTTTTTTTAAAGTTGATTAAGGTGCCCCAAGAAGTCCTCACGGTCTTATTACAGAGCACCGCGGAAGAGCATTTAATGGGAAGTTCACGCCTCCTTCCCAACCAATGTCGCAAAACTTGCCCAGAGGTGGGGTTTGAACCACGGATCTTACGTTTCTGAGGCAAGACATTCATCGACTGACAAATAGCCTGACTCGCAGTGGAGTGCTGCTACATATCCTAAAGGTTTTGGGATGGGTCAGGAACCTTTTTTTCATTATTTTTTGTTTTTTCTTTTCGTTTTCTAAAAAATCCGTATCGATTTAGATGAGCAAAAAAAGTGCTTATATAAATATGCTATAGTAGAACGGAAATTTTCAATTAAAAAAAAAAAAATAAACCAATCTAATAAAAATTTTTTTAGCTTTTTTTGAATTGCTTTTTAAAAATTCAATGTTTGACGCCATTATAAGCATATGTTAAGTCTAAGGATGCACATTAGCCAAGGCCGTCCCGCAAAGATCTTTAAGAGGGTGGGTTGGGAGTACTTATCTATTTTTTACAACTAAAAAAAAAAGTTTTCGTTTACTGACATTTGCCGACTTTCGACTACAGGTACAAATTTTCCGATTAACTGTTAAATAAATTTTTTTGGGGGGAAAGACATTCTCTATGCCCCCTCCCTCTACCTCTCCATTAGGATGGCCCTAACAAAAAAAATATCGCTTTTCACGGTTATTAAAAATAGTCGTATACTAGTTTGTAATCATATAATAATACTAGTTTGAAGTAAATATCAATTAGTAATCATATAATAATAATACTAAAGCAAAATTAACGAGGATAGTTATAATAAGAAAAATAATACTATTAGATATAATAGTCATAATTATCCGGATTTATAAGGAGAAAAAGACCTCTAATAATATTTAAAAAAATAAAACTTTGAAAATACGTTACAGAATGTTGAACATGTGGAAAAAAAAAAGAAAAATGTAAAAAATGGTCTAAATAATGTAGTCGTAAAAAACTTATATGAATTAAAGAGGTTCACCAGATGGCCCCTATAGCATAATAGTGTTGTTGGGGCCCAGTAGGCCGTCGCTTAAAAACCCTTAAAAAAAGATTTTGCGGCAATTTGTGGCTTCTTTACAAGTCAAAATATTAGATTCAGTTGTTCATTCGCATAGAATTATTATCAAACAAAAAAAAAAAAAAAAAACAACCTCGTGATGAAGTAATCGAATAAGCTTATTTAACAGTTAGTTTAATATTGAGATCAATTATTTTTGTCCAATAATAATGTCTATCTTGCAACGCGTTACTCTTAGCTCAGCTAGTAAAAATATTTTTAAAGTTTACGGAAGTAGACTTGTAAACTCAACTGCTAAGTATTGCACTACTAACGATGGTAAAGAGAAGAATATAAGTAATGTTACAGTAATAGGAGGGGGACTAATGGGAGCTGGTATTGTACAAGTTGCTGCACAAAATGATTTTGACGTTGTTATAGTAGACAAAGAAGATGAATATCTGCAAAAATGTATGGTAATGGTCAGGAAATCGATTGACAGGATAACAAAAAAAAAGTTTCCTGACGAGCCAAAGCTGGCTTCCAAATTCGTCAACGATACTTTAAACAGAATAAAGACAGAAAAAGAGCCAAGTGTTGGTGTTGCCAATGCTGATTTAGTGATTGAAGCAATAACAGAAAATCTTGATGCCAAGTGGAAATTGTTTGAAGTAATAGATAAAGCAGCCCCGAAACATTGTATTTTTACATCAAATACTTCTTCTCTTCCTATTTTTGAAATTTCTAAAGTGACTTCAAGACCTGATAAATTTGGTGGGTTACATTTTTTTAATCCAGTTCCATTAATGAAACTTGTAGAAGTAGTTAAAGCTGAAAACACATCTCAAGAAACATTTGATACATTGTTCCAGTTTTCAAAAGATCTAGGGAAAATTCCTGTTGCTTGCAAAGATACTCCTGGTTTTATTGTCAATCGCCTTCTTGTACCCTATATGATGGAAGCTATTCGTTTTGTTGAAAGAGGCCATGCAAATGCTCGAGATATCGACACTGCAATGAAGCTTGGTGCAGGTTATCCGATGGGCCCTTTTGAACTAGCAGACTATGTTGGTCTGGATACTATTAAGTTTATTGTTGATGGTTGGCATAAAAACAACCCTGACAATCCACTTTTTAACCCAAGTGAAATGCTGAACAGATGCGTTGAAATGGGAAAGTTTGGGAAAAAAAATGGAGAAGGTTTTTACAAGTATACAAACTGATTTAATGTAGAAAATAGTCAAAAACTTCAATTAATCATTCATGATAAAACTTTTTTTGAAATAGATATCATTTCAGAGTTTATTCTGTTGATTTTATTGATGTTAAAACATTGAATATTTTACAAGTTTTACAGGTAAATATTATTTTACCAGTAAAATAATGTTAAAAGTAAAATTTCTTTTGATTAAAGTTTCTTTTCTAATTAACATTATTTAAATGATTTTTCGTAACTATTTAACTTTATTGTTTTAAAATTTTATTTCCAAACATTGTCTTATTTTTTTTAAAGTTTATACTTTGTTGTAGTTTTTATTTAAACGGTCTAATGTGTATGAGATATATTCAAGTAAGCTTGTTGTCATCTTTTTATTTTTTATTTTTTTATCATAAGGTATTAATTTACGAAGTTGAAGTCTAAAAGATAATCTTAAATCTAAATGTTTATTTTGAATTATAAAATACTCCTGACTTTATTTTTTTCAAATAAAGTTTGCATATAAAAACAATGCAATTGCATATAAAAACAGTATAAATTAATTTTGTAATATATATGAATGATCCCATTTTTTTAAATTAATTGTTATTATTATTATTTATTTTATTTTAATTTATTGTTTTTGTCTTTAGTTTTATAAAAAACGTTTGCAATATGCACAACTCAAAATTAGTTAAAATTAGCTATTTTGATCTAATTATTTTAGTAAGTTGTAAAGAGCTTGGGATACACTCATCTCCATACTTTATAATATATACAGGCAGTTAAATATTGAGACAAATCAGCTGATAGAAACACGTGCCCAGGTCCGTCTTTGGTTCATCCTGGCTCCCAGTAAGATTAAGTTTGTAACAATCAAAAATTATGTTTTCAATACAATTTTCTTATATGGCTAAATAAGTTTTACTGTTATAGATCCAAAATTAAAAAAATATAACAAATTTCTAAAAATTATATACTTTTTATCTAGATTAGATCATAAAGGTAGATAATTTATTTTGTTATCTGCTTTTTTTAGAGCGTACAGGCGTTTCTGCCCACTATTAAAGATCAAGCAATCCTTTACTATTTAAAAGTTCACTAAGTTGAAAGGGACCAATATTATTTGTAACCGCAGCAGAGAGAAACATTCTTAAAGTAATATCCACATTAGGGAATGTCAATTCAAGTTTTTTTCATCGAATATTCAAAGTAAATCTTATGATTTGGTTTTCTAGTTTTCACTGGTTCCAGTTTCGATTAAAGTGAAACTTTTAAAATGCAGACAGAAAATTAGCTTCCACTTTTTTTGGTAAATTTATAAAATTTCTTAGGGTGCGCGATTGGATTGCAGAAGAATCCATATCTGAATAATGGACGAGAAATTCAATACTATGTATTTTTGGCGAGATGAAAGATATAAGCAAGGATCTATTATTGGAATAAATGGTAAAAAATGTTCGACCGGTTTTCCAAATAAGTTGATATACACTAGGGTTGTTCGCCGAAAAACAAAACTTGCGAAAATTTCGCATCTTTATCTACCGTAATAGAATTGTTATTGCGGAAGTTGCACATGCAAAAATGCACATTTCGTAACGCGCTATACGAAAATATAAAAAAATAAAATTCCGTAATAAAGCATTGCGAAAGAAAACTTGCGAAACAAATCATTTCGTAAGAATACTTACGAAATAGTTCCTTACGGAAAAAGCATTCCGGAATGTGCAGTTACGAAAAAGACGCAAAAGATTTTATGTTACGATATATTTAAGATATTAACTGTTCACAGTTTAAATAATAAAATTATAAAAAATATTGTCAAATGATTCTTCAAATGTTTATACAAATATACCTAATATATATATATATATATATATATATATATATATGTGTGTGTGTGTGTGTGTATATGTATATATATATATATATATATATATATATATATATATATATATATATATATATATATATATATATATATATATATATATATATACATATATATACAGTAAAATCCCGTTAAGTTGGACTCTCAATGAACAGATAAACAGTATGCCTTTCTTTTTAAAAAGTATAAAGAGGATGTGTGATAAACAATTTAATACTTTATTATAAAGAACGAGAGATCTCTCTAAATGTAAATAATATCAGAAAGAGTAAAAAGAGAAGAAATATATGTGAAACAGCGGGATGTGAACCTGGGTCTCCGCGGCCAAATGTCTTAATTGAATGAGCTATACGTTCATTCAACTAAGTGAATAGTAATATTTATTTATTATATAATTAAGAAACTATATAAAACAGAATTTACAGAAAGAGATACGTATGCAAATAGGATTCTATATATCAGGAAAATGAATAGTAATGTGAACCTTTAGTTGCTTATAATTAATATCTGGACTCGAAAACTAGTTACTTTTAATGGAACACAATAGGCTGTAGGAGTCTCAGAAAAATTATACTCAGAAATGATTATATTAGACTCAGAGTTAGCTAAAAATTATTACAAAGTGTTTAGGACAGATGTCTAGTACAAAAAGCACAAGATTTAAAGCAAAATGATTTATATTATTTGAAAAAGTTGTTTTACGCACATTTCATCATAATTTAAGTAGAACTTAGTAAACCAAGGGAAACGTGTAGAATTAAGCACAATGAACTCAATCTTAAAATAATAACTAACAGAAGAGAGGTTTTCACTATTATGAAGGTGACGAAAGATCTGTAATATAGAACATGGAGGTCAAAAAACGCTATCTTAAGTAAAAAGAGTTTGATGAACAAAAGTTACAATGGCTGCGGGATGCGAACCCGGATCTCTGCGGCGAATTATCACGTATCTAACTGATTGAATTATACGATCTTATACTTAAATTTATATCTTATTAAAATTAAAAAACAATATTTTCTAAGATCTATACTTCGAAAAGCGTATTCAAACAGGACTCTACATACCTTTAAAATCTGCTAAAACTTTAGTAACGTGCACACTTTTAGAAATTATTGAAATAGGTATATTTTATCAGAAATATGCTTAAGCTAAAGCATATTTTTGAGCCTCTTTTTACTATTTGCTTAAGCATATTCGAACCTGTTTCAAATATTTCATATGCTTTCAAAAAAAAAACATGTATATTCCTACCCATCATTCTTATTTTTAATATACGTAATGAGTTCAAAAAATATCGTTATATATATTTATTATGGCACGTTTCACGGTCGGCCAAAGAGACCGCCAGGTTTTTTGTCGTGTCACTTAAACGAAACTTTTTTTATATAAGAGTATTTGTTTTATAAAAGTAGAATCTAGCGTTTTTAAAATCCAAAAAAAGTGCTAAGGATCACAAATGATGCAAAAAGGTAAATTGAGGGGCCTGATGCCCATTTGACCACTTTAGGCGCCCATTACAAAAAATATATAAATTAATTAAGAATATGTGTCTTATAAAAATAGAATATAAAGTTTTTAAACTATAAAAGTCTGAAAAAAGTCCTGAGGATTACAAAGGACACAAAAAAATAAAATTGAGGGGCCCTACCCCCATTGAAGCATTTTAGACGCCCATTATAAAAAAAATTTGTTAATTTATGATATTTGTCGTATACAAAATGAAATAAGTGTTTTAAAATCAAAACAAAGAACTAAGATTCACAAATAAAGCAAAAAGATAAAATTGACGGGGCCCTATGTCCATTGAAACATATTAGATGCCTGTTACAAATAAAGACTTTAATTAATATTAATATTTACAATATTAATTTATATTTGTTACACAATCCAAATATACATTTCAAAGTTAAAGATAAAGCAACATTTCAAAGTTAAAGATAAATTAAAGTCTTCTTTCATTGAAATTTATTACAGAGGATAACAGTTGTTCTCCATGTTGAGCATGGTCTTCTGCATGTTTATATCTACTCCAGGTAGGTTTAAATTTAGAATGAATAGCCTCTCCACACTGTTCAGCAAACTTAGCTAGACCACAGTTATGGTGTTTGACAAAGGGTTGAACATGACACAGCAAGACTCTTGGGTAGAAAAGAAAGACTTTTTAAACACAGTAAATGCCATTTTATACTCTGTCAAAAGAATTTAACCATAACAGGAATCTTTCACTATTTTAAAGTCTTTTAAACACTGAATTATAGGTATCAGTTAAGGAACCTGAGATGCTACTACTTTATCAAGTTCATCCAGGTTTTTCAGGATCTTGTTAGAATTATTTCCGTCCCAACCTCTACCTTGATACCCTCTCTGATAAACACTTTTAGTTTTCAGCCAGTCATCAAATTCAGGCCAAATATCCATAACTATACATCCTAAAGTAGATACAACTCCAATCAAAAGATGTAATTCAGGAGGTGGTACCAAATGCTGAATTAGAGTATCTGGACTCTTCTCTAGATAGAGAATCCTTGGATATATCACATTCATATATTGTTGCATGTTAGATTTTTTAGATTTATTTTCGACACTGTATTTTTCATACCAATAATCAAGATTTCCAAGAGTTCTTAACTTTCCACATTCTCCATTTTTCAAACCTTTACACTACAGGCATGCTCTTTTTTCTGCATGACCTGATAGACCAAACACAGCATTAGCGCACTTTAAACCAAATGCTACAAAAAAATTGACATCTTGTAACTTGAGTTTTTCTAATATAATTCTTAAGTTATGATTCGATTCAGGAACATCTTCAACCATAGCAAGAATTTGAAAACGTTGAACATCACTATTCATGTACATTACAGAAGACTTTTTTTTTTTTTAATTTATATCAAAAACATTGATTATAATTTTCAAAAAGGATCCTCCACTATCCATAGAAATTCGTACAAATGCAGAATGAATGTCTAAACCACATTGGTTTATCAAATCCATTGTGAAAGATGATGATTCTTGAACATAAACAAGATCCTTTTTCACAGTGAAGGATCTCTCTCTTTTTATCATATCATTTTATATTAGAAAATCTAACATTATAAAAGAACAATTTTTTGATCAATATATTACTAGATATCTATAAATAATATATAAATATGAATATATTTAAAATATTAATTACCTTTTCTACATGATAAAAATGTGATATAGATTCCGAAAGATCATTTAACTTGCCAAAAATGTTAGTTTTAGTCTTACTCCCTATTCCTGTCTTACTCCCTATTCTTTTCCGAAGTCTTATCCTTGTCCTTCCGAATATCTTATCCCAGTCTTAGTCCCTATACCTTTCCGAAGAGTAGAAATTAATTGTTTGGTCTTTTTATTAGGAAGTTCTAATAATTTTTTTTTTTTTTTTTTTTTTTTTTGCATTCACTCCTAACAAGGCTGCAAGCAACCACTATTAAGTTGAGAGTTACTAGGAAAAA